GGCGGGCCGACGGGCGGAGCTGAGCAGGCCCGGTGCGAGGGAGGGCTGAGGGAGGGCGTGGGTGGCAGCTGACGGGTTCGCTCATCAGCACACTCCCTGCCCTGCCAAACGAGTCTCGGTTTAAAAAACACACACCGTGATTTTAACCCTTACTGTTAAAAAGACGATACTTTAAATAAATCCACAAAGAAGAAAAAGATGTGCCTGAAATCCACAAACACCTAAGTAAGCACCCCTCCCCAGACACCCCCACTCAGCCTGTACAGCTGGGGAAAACAATGACACTTTGTCCAACTCGAACAAAAGCATTAGCAGCTGAAATGGTTAGTTCAACAATGGTAAGACAGCCAAGTACCGTGCAGCCAGGGCAGGTTTTCCTCTCCCACTAGTGCTACTTCCGAGCATACCCTGTGCTTTGCCCTCTGACATCCACGTGCCATCCCTCTTCCCCAGCAGACAAAGCTGCTGCACGCTGCAAGACCAGGCAGGACAAGGGATTCAGCCTGATGTAATTCAGCTATCGGTTTGCAAGAAGGAAGGGGGTAAGATTATTAAAACTTGGTCGCTCCTCATATCCCCCGTGTACAAACCAAGAAGCGCTCGAGGATGGTTCTAAGCTCTCAAGGACTCATTGGTAAAGCAAAAGCTTTCGGCTTCGATATGCACAAATGCACTCTGCTAAAGCCCCGCTGCTCTCATGTCATGTATGAACGAGGGGAGGGTGGAGGAATGGAGAAGAAACCACCAGCTTTCCCAGGAAAGGTCAGTTACAGGCGAGTTCAGGAATAGTGCTCCGAAGTACTATAGACTGTAAACAGAGTTAGCGTCCCATGCAGGCAACATCTCACTTGACCATCATTTCTTCTCCCAACCCAGCTCCTTAACTGCTACAGTCTCCACTGCTTGTGAAAGCAGATGTACCTTGAAGACCCAACAGTTAAAGTAACATTTTAACCAACTTCTTCAGTGGAATCAAGATTTGGCATTTAGCTTTAATGATTCCACTTAAACGTTTTAATGCAAGTCAAAAATACTAGCTGTAACACATTAATGAATTTATTCAGTCATATTTCTTAGGGAAGAAAGAACAATGTTTTTGTACCACATCTTGAGTTCAGATTTTGAACTCAAATTTGAACTCCGTTTCTTACCAGATAATTTTAAAGGGTATGCACTGTAAGAACACAACAGAAGACTAAATATATTTTCTTAACATTCTCTCAGCAAATTCCATGGCTTCTGATTTCTGATACATATGTGCAACTAATAACAATAATTAGTTTATTTTCCAAAAATAATTATTATGTATGTTAAGGTATAAACTAGTTTATAATGCATAATCTAATAAATAGGTATAAGAGCTACACCAGACATCCTTTTATTATTGTAAGAATCTTTCTAGCTCATACTTGATTGCTGCAGGAGACCCAAAAAAATAGGTACACAAACAGGTATACATACCTCAAAAAAGCTCTCCACATACTGCAGTATGTACACCCCACAATCACTGAAGTTATTCTGTTGTGGCACTTTTGGGTTGGAACCTTTCATGACGTCTTTGGAAAAGCTTCTTTTGGTGCCTTTCCTGACTTCCCATTCCACCTCTAAGTATCTATGATAAAAGACCATGCAAATTCAAACTTTCATCTTCTTGCAAAATTTTGAAAAAAAAAAAAACAAAAACCCCAAACAAACAAAAAACCCAAACCAACCAAAACCAAACAAAACCCCAAATATGAAACTTACTCCCTTAGTGTTTTCACAACATTTGACCGGGAAGGGCCTCTCAGTGAGTCCATAAGCAAAATGCAAGGCCTAAGAGAGAACACAATTGTAAGCACACAATATTTTAGAGCAAGTTGGAAAACACGTTACACAGTTAGCTAGCTATGAAATAGTTTGTGGGGTGACTTTAAACAAAACTAGATCAATACTACTAAGTTTTGCCAGCAATGCTGTAATCCCCTAACTGGGATGGCTAAATGTAAAGTTACCTTTGGATTTAACCATACACTAAGAACAGCGAACCTCAGAATATACTTCGAAAACCTAGTGCTGTCAGACTGAAAGCAGTTGTTACAGGGAAAATCTAGTTGCCTAAAACCCCCTTGGGTGTCCAGCGCTCTTTTGATGCACAGATGTCTGGGACACTGGCAAGAGACTAGACAGTAAGGCACACAACCCACAAACATCCCGCAGCAGCCGCGGGAGGGCAGATGCGACAGTCCCCAGCATCTAAGAGGACACCACGTACGCATGTTCAAGAAGCAATCCCAACCAATGAGTCTGAAAGTCTACCTGACAGTCACCCACAACCCACACATGTACATAAGCATCATAAGCACGTATGTGAAAGTCTTCACCTTTCTAGGAAACATTATATTCACAAAGAAGGAAATATAAAAATGGATAAATAAATTGTGAAAAAATACAAACAAAATTGTGAAGACAGCAATACTAGTAACAGTATTTCTAGATTTGGAATCATGCATTTCTGTCCCACCAAAATGCAAGCAACTGCAATCAATGACTATTAATAAATAATTTCTGGGTTTCAATCACCAAAAAATAAATTTTAAGAGTTTTGGAATCCAAAACAGGTTAAAAAGTAAACAAAAAAGATGTAATTGAACTTAGAATTGTGGAACATTCTTATTAGAGATAAAAGAACAGAGAGAGAAAAAAGAACAGAGAGAGAAAGAAAAGAATACTGCTAAGAACAGAAAGAGACAATAAAGGGAAAACAGCTAGAACACGTTTAGATAAGAAGTGGGGGCAGTTAAAATTATTCCCACTTTCCTGTACTAATGTGACTGGTGACAAAGGTTTTCTTTAGCATTCATTTCAGTTAATGATTTTCACTTCAAGACATTTTTTAATATAGAAGGATACATGTAAACATGCTTCTGCACTTTCTTTTGTAGGAATCTAAGTGCAACATATCAAAGAACAGCCTTATTTGAAGAAACAACCTTCAACTGCCTGAAGCAGCACACAGGCTTAACAGAAACCCAAAAACCTGTTACTTCATTCATAGCTTCATTCATGAAATTTTCTGCTCACTGAAGATGGTGATACTACAAGGCGTAAAATTATCTCCCAAAACCACTAATATACTACAAACTACAAACATACTAATTAAACTGTCTGAAAACTGATATATGACCTTTTCCCATAATTACTGTCTTTTAAATTTCATAAACTTGTATGAAATTTCCATTTTAACTGTTTTAATACTTACTGTTTGCAGATAGTAGGCTTCAGGTGCCACTGTCCCATTTCTGAATTACAGTTATCGTCTACAAGGCCACCATCATCACTACTGTCTTCCTACAGAAGCAAGATGTTTACAGGTGTTTAAAAGCTAATAAGTGTTTTTCAAACAGATGCAAAAGAAATTGCTTACACTTCCCATTTTTGTTCAAGACCAGTAACATAAGTTTAATAAAGTAGTAGTAGCTGTAATCTGAAACCATTCACCGTTTGTCAAGTTTGCATTACCAACTTTCAGTCACATGGTTTCTCAATCCCAAACTGGAACGACTCCGAGTGAACACTACTATTTATTTAAGGACTGCTAAAACTAGAAAAAAGCTGCAACTGACATTTTCAAAGCATTGCTGGCTTAAAAGGCATGCACCTCCACGATTTGGTTATAATCCATATTATTAATACTTTCCCTTGCTAACGATTACTAGAAATTTGCTTGGTGGCTTCATGTATGGTATCTCCTAGATGAAATGAGACAAAAGCTGACATGAACTTGGAAGTAAAATTTGGTCTTTGCTCTAGAACGCACCAACTTAAATCTAAGGGCAAGGGAAATTAAACTGCCATACTACATAACATGGGTTGCAAAAAAAGTCATGCCACAAACCTGGGAACATCCTTCGACCTTCTGATTTCAATAGATGGCTATGAAGAATATGGAAGTTTTAGGAACAAAACCACTAAGGTCTTGTATCTAAAAAATTATCCGTGGTTTCCCACCCTTCTACCAAGTTCACTATTACTCCCACAGACCACTGCATTATAAGCAAAGAGATGCTTTCCAAAAATGGGAAACCCTGGATCAGCATGATTTGTGAAATTTTTGATGAGAATTATGTACATTTCACTAACACACAGGATCCTATGACTGAAATCCTCATGCTATGCCATGAAGACGTTATCATATTAGAAAATACTGCCTAGTTCCTAATACACTTGTTTCTGTTGCAGCCTCAACTCCATTTTTGGCAGATGTGAAGGTGTCCTAAGTCCGTCATGGTCTACCATTTCTATACTTGCTTTGTGCATTCTATAAGCTATCAGTGACAACTTCAGCCTGAGTTAAGTTCATAGAAACACAAAATAATTTGGGTTGGAAGGTACCTTTAGAGGTCATCCAGTCCAACCCCCAGCAGCAAGCAGGGACACCTTTAGCTGGATCAGGTTGCACAGAGCCTCGTCCAACCTGACCTGGAATGTTCCCAGGGATGGGGCTTCTACCACCTCTCTGGGCAGCCTGTGCCAGGGTTTCACCACCCTCATTGTTAAAAATGTCTTCCTTGTATCCAGTCTAAATCTAACGTCTTTTAGTTTAAAACTATTACCCCTTGTCCTATCACAACAGGCCCTGCTAAAAAGTCCCTCCCCACCTCTCCTGTAGGTCCCCTTGAACCACTGGAAGGCCGCTCTAAGGTCTCCCCGGAGCCTTCTCTTCTCGAGGCTGAACAACCCCAACTCTCTCAGCCTGTGCTCATAGGGGAGGTGCTCCAGCCCCCTGATCATTTTTGTGACCCTAAGTTCTAAACTACACTGCAACCAGGGAACTCGGCATCTTTTCCTCCTCTCAAGGAACACAGCTGGCCATGTGTTTTCTTCCCTGCCTTCATGCCATGTACTTGGAAACACTCTACTACTCTTTCTCCATCTTCATGAACCCCTAACTGCTACAAAATAGACAGAAAGGCACTTCCATCAGGTGAGAATCGCAGAATGTTTGGGCAAGTGGCATGACAGGAGAGGTGGGTTGAGTCTGTTATGAAAAGCATAGCTAGGTTTCAACATAAACTGGAGCTTTTATATGTATGTGCACAAATACATACTATTTGGAAGCCATTAGAAATAGCTGCAGACTTTGGAAAGTAATTGATTGTTCTGGACTCAAAGGTGAAAAAAAGGTAATTCCTAGACTGTATATTTGATAGCCTCCGATTCTTTATTTTGGACAACTTGGAGTCATACACCTGGAATATGAACAGGAAGGCTAATTAGGAAGAGTAAATGTGTAATTCCTAGCTTGCTCACATTGAACTTAACACTGTAGAAGCAACAGGGCTATGGAATAGTGTCCTCAGACCCACCAGGGAGTCAGTAAAGGACATTTTAATGATCAGTCTTTCCATAGCCCTAAAACCTAAACGTCTTCCAAACTGAACAAGAACACTACTCGATTACAAATCCATGTTGTTTAAATTTGATTAGGAGAAGCACCAATGAAGCAAAACAGCAGAGCAGCACACACTCGTAAATGTGTCTGTTTACGTCCAGGAAATGCAGCTGAAAGAACAGTAACGTGTTGTTGGGTCTGGTAGGTAAACATGGGGGTGGGGGAGATGAAAGACAGAAACGTGTTGACATTCAGAGTTTCCATTAAAATCATTGTGTAATATTGTCACTACGCAAAAGACTCACAAAATTAAATGCAGGATCAGTACAGCAGTTTCCTAGTAAACAGATTAATAAACAATGTACAATCCTCTCCTGTCAGCTAAGTAGCAACTTTTTGTAGGTAACTAGTGCCTTGGATGTGACACTTGTAAAGATAACTAGCTTCAGACAATGCACTTTTACAATGTGTATACAGCTTTTAAGCTGCCCATTCAAAAATACAACACAATAGTTTGTATTTCCCAAATAAAATTGCTAAGTTCTTTACCTGGTTATCCTGGTCTTCAGAAAAATCTATAAGCTCATCTTCATTTAGTTTACTGCCATCAGCGGAGTCTTCACTATAGTTTAGCCTGATTTTGTGCAATCCATCTGCATCAATCACAGACAGTAGTATATTTAAATATCAAATACTATGGCATCTTTGAAGACCAAACTTAACTTTAAACACCACAATAACTGTGATACACCTGACATAACATTTTATTAATGCATATGAACAAAAGTTAAAAGTTTCTTTTAAGTAACACGGCAGAAATTGTTCCTTATTCTGCAAAACACCTAAAAAAATTCTAGAGACTTGGACTAAAACCCACCACGAAATTACCCTGTAGTTCCATGAAGCCTTTACGACAGTATAAATTGGTATTGCTATCAAAAGGGGCAGTCTCATTAGGTCCCTAATATAACTGTTTATTCCCATCCCTAGCTCGTTTCTTCCACGACACCAAATACATCCACACACAGTGGAGCAGAGAGAGAAAGTTAGTCACAAGCTTATTATTTTCTAACTTGAATCAGTTACTTGGTCAGATTCACTGTGCAGTTATATGAAGACTTGTGCTGGTAAAAGGGAAAAGGCAGCTTGGGGAGACGCTGCTAAGGAGGGCAGAATGCAGGATCAGCTCTCGCGGGAGCAGCAGCTTAGAAATGTTTGTGAAACTTCACTGTTTGATACATAAAAAGATTATCTGTAAATTCACTTCCTATCCCCTCTACGTATTTAGTCACTTGAGTAACAGCATCAGAAGAAATAAAGAGTAATGAATGTTATAGCTATACCTGTGACAGTAGCAGGCACAGCAGACCTACTATACTACCATGCAAGATTTCAGAACAGATTTTCAGGGGAAAAATAAACTATGTGAGAATAAGTGAAAAAATTAATAACTCATGCCAGCAAAACCTGAAATCTTCATAAGCAAACTTTTCCTAGAAGGCAGCTACAACAGGGAACCTGCGTGCTCGGTTCCCTCTCTAAAATGCCTGTACACCAATGCACGCAGCATGGGGAACAAACAGGAAGAGCTAGAGATCTGTGCGCTGTCACAGGGCCATGATCTCGTTGTGATCACAGAGACATGGTGGGGCAGCTTGCATGACTGGAATGCTGTCATGGATGGCTATGCATTCTTTAGCAAAGACAGGCCAACTAGGTGAGGTGGGGGAGTTGCTTTTTATGTGAGAGAGCACCTGGAGTGTATCGAGCTCCCCTAGGGGGGGATGACAAACGAGTCAAGAGCTTATGGGTAAGACTTAAGGGGCAGGCTAATATGGGGGACACTGTTGTGAGTGTTTGCTACAGGCCATCTGATCAGTGGGAGGAAGTTGAAGCCTTCTACAGACAGCTGAAAGCAGCC